CTGTGGGTCAGGGAGAAGGGGTCTGTGGGTCAGGGAGGAGGGGTCTGTGGGTCAGGGAGAAGGGGTCTGTGGGTCAGGGTCATCTGAGGAGGAAGCAGATGAAGGCAGTTGCGCACAGGTCTCGTCTCGCAGTTTCACGTCTCCAAAATGAGCGTACACATGGGTCAGAGCTGTGAGGCACATTTTCACGTCAAGTTTGGATTTTATAAATCACAACCTTGGTGTGAAAAGTGGCGTACGCAAGTTTTATAAATCCGACCCCTGGTCTGTGACAGGTGAGTCCACCTGGGGCCGGTCTCAGGCAGGACAAAAGATCTGGATGTTTTTGTTATTTTTATTACATCATCATCATCTTATCGTCTCCTGAGGGACATTTTTCTTGCAGCAAGGTGAAGAAAAATGAACAAATCATAGAAGACAACAAATAATCATCATACTATGACTTTAGCAGAACAATCAAAAATACTTAATGATTATTATAAATAAGATAAATACTTTTACTTAAAACAGTTTATAAAAAACAGGTTTAATGATGAAATTAAACTGGATTACCTTTAAGCTGGATCTGAACCATGGTCTGGCTGACTCCCCCTGAAGTGGTGATTTGTGTTTTTAATGCTGCTGCTTTTACAGTTAGTTTAAAGCTGTTCTTCTCTCCTGCTGACAGTTAAACCAGGACAGATTCAGTCAGTGAGTTATAATAAAATAATCTTTTACACTCCAAACTAATTAAATTTTTGTAGGAAATGCAGTCTCTGATGAGCTGTTTTTATTAAGCTCACCTGGATTTTCAGCAAATGACAGCTTGTTGTCAGAGAGCTCCTGGATGTTTCAGGACTGAACTCTTCTTTAATGACAAGTAAAGATGAACTGATCTTTGTTCTGAAACCTCTGCACATCTTTAGTTTTTAAAACTTTTAATTTCAGGACTTCTCACCAGATTAAAATCATCCACCTGGTGAGTCGTCCCAGATAATTTATTGTCATTTCAACCCCTAAATGCCATGGGAACATATATTTTTATTAAGTTTATTATGTTTGTTTTATTAGTTCATTGTTGCACGCATTTTTAAAAATAAAAACCAAATTAACAATTTAGTAAAAAGAATTTTCAGGACCCCCAAGATACCTCTCGTAGACCCCTGGGGGTCCAGGGACCTCAGTTTGAGAACCTCTGCATTACAGGAAGTAGAGGAAGGAGAGAACAGCCCTGAGGAGAACCTGTAGAGGAATAAATGTTCAAACAGGAACTGAATCTGAATTCATCATTTAAACTGAATTTAAAGTTTTTAATTTGAATTAATTTACTTTGAAACTGAATTTTGGTTTATAAAAACTTCAGTTTGACTACTTTCACTTTCAGTTCCATCGTTCAGATGTTTGTGTCACATCCTGGTCCTTGAGAAAGCCAGGCAGAGTAATCAAACACAGATCCACAGATSTCCTCCTGTTGTCTSCACTTCATGGTTCGGTTCTGTCTTCAGTCAGGTTCTGCTGCGGAGTCGGGTCCTCAGGGAGAACGGGAAGTACCTCCCCCGACAGGTAAACAGGCTTTTATTGTGGAAACTGGGTTTATTTCATTACTTCCTGTCTGATTTTTGATGTTAGAAGTCTGATGGTTCTGGTTCTGATGTGTGGTTCTGGTTCTGGTGTTTCAGTCGTTCAACATGAGGAAACATTATTTCAACAACACAGAAACTGGATTCTTTAAGAAAGTCAAGAGGAAGGTGGTCCCCAAGAACCCCATGACAGGTGAGCTTTTCAAAATAAAAGCCTGCTGATGATGTTTTCATGTGAGGAAGAGGAGGAGTCTGAGCTTCATCATGTGTTGCAGACCCCAGCATGCTGACGGACATGATGAAGGGCAACATGCTGAACGTCCTGCCCATGATCCTGATCGGAGGCTGGATCAACTGGGCCTTCTCGGGCTTCGTGATCAGTCAGTTCCTGCTGCTTCAGCTGCTTTTAGCTGCTTTTAGCTGCTTTTAGCTCAGGGGTGTCAAACTCCAGTCCTCGAGGGCC